AAAAAAAAAAAAAAAAAAAAAAAACAACTTCCCCCCACCACACACACAACCCCAGGCCCTAGTGACTTCAATGGTCAATACTAACAGTAAAGAATAAGAATTAACACCAATACTTAACAAACTCTTCCAGAAAACAGAAGAGAAGGCAACATTTCCCAAATTATCCATCGAAGCCAAAATTACCCTGATACTCAATACAACGACATTGTAAGAAAACTACACTGCCAGGTGCAGTGCCTCACGCCTGTAATCCCAGCGCTTTGGCAGGCCAAGACAGGCGGATCATGAGGTCAAGAAATCGAGACCATCCTGGCCAACATGATGAAATCCTGTCTCTACTAAAAATACAAAAATTAGCTGGGCATGGTGGCATAGTCCAAGCTATTTGAGAGGCTGAGGCAGAAGAATCGCTTGAACCAGGGAGGTGGAGGTCGCAGTGAGCCGAAGGTGGCAGTGAGCCGAGATCTTGCCACTGCACTCCTGCCTGGCAACAGAGCAAGACTCCATCTCAAAAAAAAAAAAAAAAAAAGAAAAGAAAAAGAAAATCAATTACTTTAATACACCACGTTAACAGATGAAAGGACAAAAATTGCATGATCATTTCATTAGAGAATGGAAACGTACTTGACAAAATTTAGTGACCTTTCTTTTTTTTTTTCTTTTTGATAGAGTTTCGCTCTTGTTGCCCAGGATGGAGTGCAATGGCGCAATCTCAGCTCACTGCAACCTCCGCCTTCCAGGTTCAAGAGATTCTCCTGCCTCAGCCTCCTAAGTAGCTGGGATTACAAGCATGTGCCACCACGTCTGGCTAATTTTGTATTTTTAGTAGAGGTGGGGTTTCACCATGTTGGCCAGGCTGGTCTTGAACTCCTGACCTCAGGTGATCTGCCCACCTTGACCTCCCAAAGTGCTGAGATTACAGGTGTGAGCCACTGCACCTGGTCGTGACCTTTCTTAATAAACACATTAAACAAACTAGAAAGAGAAGGGAACTTCCTCACCTGAAATGGATATCTGCAAAAAACTAATAGATAACACCATACTTTTTTTTTTTTTTTTTTTTGAGACGGAGTCTCGCTCTTGTTACCCAGGCTAGAGTGCAATGGCGCGATCTCGGCTCACCGCAACCTCCGTCTCCTGGGTTCAGGCAATTCTCCTGCCTCAGCCTCCTGAGTAGCTGGGATTACAGGCACGCGCCACCATGCCCAGCTAATTTTTTGTATTTTTAGTAGAAACGGGGTTTCACCATGTTGACCAGGATGGTCTCGATCTGTTGACCTCGTGATCCACCTGCCTCGGCCTCCCAAAGTGCTGGGATTACAGGCTTGAGCCACCGCGCCCGGCCAACACCATACTTAATAGTGAAAGATGTAACACCCTTAAGATAGGGAAGAAGGTTGTCTCCTCTCCCCACTTCCACTGAATAAAGAACTGGAGGGTCTAGCTAGGTCAGTGAGGCAAAGGAAGAGGCAAAACTATGTCTATTCATAGATGGCATGATCTTATATATGGAAAATAGGAAAGAATCCACTAAAAACTATTTGAACTAATAAACAGATTTAGCAATGCTTCAGGAGACAAGATTAGTACATAAAAAACGACTATAGGCCGGGCGCGGTGGCTCACGCCTGTAATCCCAGCACTCTGGGAGGCCGAGGCGGGTGGATCCCGAGGTCAAGAGATCGAGACCATCCTGGTCAACATGGTGAAACCCCGTCTCTACTACAAATGCAAAAATTCAGCTGGGCATGGTGGTGTGTGCCTGTAATCCCAGCTACTCAGGAGGCTGAGGCAGGAGAATTGCCTGAACCCAGGAGGCGGAGGTTGCGGTGAGCCAAGATCGCGCCATTGCACTCCAGCCTGGGTAACAAGAGCGAAACTCCGTCTCAAAAAAAATATACCCGGGAGAGAAAGCTGGTCAGTGGAAAAAAAAAGTAAAAAAAGCATCAAAAAGGATAAAGTACTTAAGAATAAATTTAACGAAAGTACCTTTGTACGCTGATAATACAAAACATTATTTAAAAAAACAAAACAAGGTCGGGTGCAGTGGCTCACGCCTGTAATCCCAGCACTTTGGGAGGCCGAGGCAGGCGGATTACGAGGTGAAGAGATCCAGACCATACTGGCCAACATGGTGAAACCCCATCTCTACCAAAAATACAAAAAATAGCCGGGCATGGTGGCACGTGCCTGTGGTCCCAGCTACTCGGGAGGCTGAGACGGAAGAATCGCTTGAACTCAGGAAGCGGGGGCTGCAGTGAGACAAGATTGCGCCACTGCACTCCAGCCTGGCAATAGAGCAAGACTCTGTCTCAAAAAAAAAAAAAAAAAAAAAAAGCCATTATCGGAAAAATAAAAGAGCTAAATAAATAAAACATATCCCATGTTCACCGACATTAAGACTTAATATGAATATTAAGATGGTAATATTCCCCAAACTGTGCTGATTAAAATTCGTGGTTCAAGGCTGGCCCAGGGAGTTCCCTGTAAAACTTCTTTTGTAGAAAGGGAAAACCCGGAGCATAGAGAGGCCATGTGTTCAACAGAGTCACACAGCCAGGAAGAGGCAGAGCTTGGTGGGATTTGGTGGGCAAACTATGAAACATCTGACCCCCAAAATCTGCTCCACTAGCTCCTGGGGCAAGAGGTATTGACGCTGCTAACAGTACTGCTCAGAGAAAGGCAGGGAAAAGGCCAGGAGAAAGACAGCCTAATCCCAGCACCCACAATAACTACAACAGGGAATCTGGGAAGGAAACAGCCCCTGTGGTCTGACTTCGATATGGACAGAACTTCCCATGGGGAAAATGCAGCGGTAGTCAGTGTGCTGGGGGACAGTGTGAGAGACTTACCCAGTGAGCTAAGGAGTGCAAAGTTCTCCAGCATCACATCCCGGTATAGGCCCTTCTGGGTCACATTAAGGAGCCCCCACTCCTCCCTGGAGAAATATACCGCCACATCCTCAAACATCACCAAGCCCTGCAATGATGGGTCCAACTGAGCCTTGGGGTCAATGATGGGCAGAAAAAAACAACCAAAATACGGACAGATGGACACATACATGCCCTTGACCTGTGTCTGGGGGTCCTATCGGATCTCCCACCGACATTATCTTTCCCTAGGAGCCCCAAGCCCTTCCCCGCCATACTCCCTCCACATATCTTCCTTCTCCTGCCTCAGAGGAATACCAGAGCTGCTGGTGTCACTGATGCCTCTAGGGTTACTACTGGACACTGTGTCCAACCCAAAGTGACAACAGGCTGGTGACTAGACCGATGCCAGCTATGTCCAGGGCCAAGCACACAGGCCCCACTCTACCTCCTGCCTGCCATTTCCAGTCCCAGAGATCACAACTCTCAGATGCAACCAAACCTATGCTCATCCTTCTCCCTTAGGTGCCAAGTACCAGGAGGGCCCAGTTTGCCCTCCTGCTCACCAGGCACAAACTGAACAGCAGCATGCCTAAAGCTCTACACCCTCAGCACAACCTCCCCAGTTCGCCCTACATTGCCTGGCCTTCCACGCACTGTTCTGCACCTGTGTCTCCGGAGTGCCTGACACAGCAACTACAAGCCCATCCTCTCCCAGTCCTGCGGCACATCTCCAGTGCCTCCCACTGCCATGGGCATGCCCCAGCCCTGCATCAAAGACCTCCGCCTGGACCCATATGCAGATCTGAGACCCTGCCCTCCTCCAGCTCTGCCCTGGGACATGCTGCCCCCCGACCTGGCGGCCCACCTCATTCCTCGGAGACACCCTCCGCTCACCTGCCCCTCCGCGGCCATTGGACCGTGAGGGCGGAACCGGCCCGGACCCTCAGGCTCAACGGAAACGCGTCCGGGACGCGGAAGCTCTCGACGGCCGTGGAATCTTCCCGGGAAGCTCTCCCCGCGCGGGTGAAATGCCTCCGAAAACAAGCAGCCACTTCCGGGAGCCGCGGGGAAGGCGGGCGGTGCAGGGGCCCGGGAGGCCCACGGCGCCTGTCCGCGAGCGACAGGTCTGAGGAAGAGGAGCCACTCGCCGGTGGGGAACGGCGCGTGGAAGGCGCAGCGGGGGTCCCCGCCCTTCACCTCGCCCAGGGGATCGCGGGGAAGTCACCCCGGCCCACGCAGAGCTGCCCGAGGCGCCAGGACAGCCCTTCTGCCGAGGACTGCCGACTGCCAGGCGAAGCCGGAACTCCCGGAACTCTGGGAACTCCGTGCCCTGCGCCTCCCCTAGCTCGGCGCCCCTCCAGCCACGACCTCCATTCCCGGCTCTCCTCGCGGCGCGGCTAGGTCGTTGCCAAGGCGGCAAGGGAGGACGCCGCTAGCTCTAGAAGAGGGGGCGTGAACTACATTTCCCATAAGGCGTCTCGACGTGCGCCCATGCAGACGTAGCCAATGGCGGCCCAGGAAGGTGAACGATCTGGCTGGCCTCGTAGGGCGCGGGGCTTCCGGCGTTGGCTTTAGGCACTTGCTTTGGGGCGCCTTGCAGCGGTGAGATCATTGGGCGGCGGGGAGGCTCCGCTGGTCCCCAGGAACAGAAGCGAAGGCGCGAGAGTCGGGGAGTTCTGCCTCGGTGACCTGTACGCGTCCTGGCGACGGTGAATGTTGCTGAGACCCAGTGACCCCGCAGTGGACGGGCGGCCACGTGGGGCCCTCGGACCGCGCAGCGCCGGGGTCTCAGCAGAAACCCCCCTGTGCCCGCAGCCGCCTCGAAATCCTCGCCCTGGTGTTGTGTCCGCTTTACGGAGTCCGGACCAAGGCCCAGAAAAACGTCCCAGCCAGGGCCGAGCGCGGTGGCTCACGCCTGTAATCCCAGCACTTCGGGAGGCCGAGGCGGATGTATCACGAGGTCAAGAAATCGAGACCATCCTGGAATCGATTCCCAGAGATATGGTGAAATCCCATCTCTACTAAAAATACAAAAATTAGCTGGGCGTGGTGGCTCGCGCCTGTAGTCCAAGGTACTCAGGAGGCTGAGGCAGGAGAATTGTTTGAACCCCGGAGGTGAAAGTTGCAGTGACCCGAGATCGCGCCACAGCATTCCAGCCTGGCGACAGAGTGAGGCTCCGTCTCAAAAATAAAATAAAAACGGCCCAGCCAGAAACATGTTACATGGCTGTCATCAGACAGGTCTTCAAAGAGCAGCTGGGCCGAGGTCCCTCGTTAAGAGGCGGCGTAGGGGGAAGGTCAACGGTTGTGTTTAAGATGTGTTGGGTTTTCGGCGCCCCACGATGCAGACGATGTGTGGGCCACAGGTGAGCATACCAGGGACAGGTCGCCCTGCACGTGGCCGAGGCACGGTAGGCTCATAGTCTACCCTATATAAGGCCGCGGTGATCTCAGGTATGGGGGCCTGGGAGAGGAGGGTGAGTACATGGTTGGGTCAGGGCACAGGGTCTGGGACACATGCGGGGAGGACGCTGGCAGAATAACCGGGCTCCTGGGTGTCTTGCGCTGAATTCAGACACGTTCATGTTGCCTTGTGTCTCCCTGGACGAAGAGAGTTCTTGGGCAAGGTCCAAAGGAGCTTCCACCTGAGGCTAATGCTGGAGAACTCTGCACTCAGTGCTATGGTGGGTCATACCACTGCCATCATCACTCCCCAGCCAGAACGCTGGTTTTTTTCTTCTCCTCTTTCCATGTTGCTCTTGGAAGTTGCACTGAGGCCCAGATCATGCCATCTAACAAGTGGCTGAGTGAGGCCGGGTGCGGTCGCTCACGCCTGTAATTCCAGCACTTTGGGAGGCTGAGGCAGGCGGATCACAAGGTCAAGAGATCGAGACCATCCTGGCCAACATGGTGAAACGCTGTCTTACTAAAAATACAAAAAATTTAGCTGGGCGTGGTGGTGCGCACTTGTGGTCCCAGGTACTCGAGAGGCTGAGGCAGGAGAACTGCTTGAAACCGGGAGGCGGATGTTGCTGTGAGCCGAGGTGACGCCACTGCACTCCAGCCTGGTGCCTGGTGATGGAGGGAGACTCTGTCTCAAAAAAAAAAAAAAAAAAAAAAAAGTGGCTGAGTGGACACCCTACACATTCTACCCAAGGGCCATGAGTGGCCAAGATCGGGGCTCAGAAGTCTCTGAATCTTCACAGCAGGGCATCTCCAGCTCAATCACTTCCTGTAAACTGACATGGGTGCATGTGGGGTCACTGGGCCCTGCCTGGGAGCCTTCCCTGTATGTTCATTTTGTGAAGTTGTTTTCCTCAGAATAAGGATTATTCTCCCTTGCTGAGGTCTGTCATGGTGTTTTTGCCTCTCCTGGACTGGACTCTTACAAACTTGTCATCCTCTATAGGCCTGATGGCGTGTACATTCCCACCAGCAGGTGGACCACATGAACTCAAAACTAGTTGTGGCAAAGGGACCCTGAAGAGAACTACTGGTGAATGACCCCAGAAGTGGGCTGTTCTCACACCTGGTGCCCAGCATGTTCCCTCACAGGTCTTGGTGCCTCCTTGATTCTGTTGGTTTTTCCACCCTCTTGACAGCTCCCCAGTTCCAATCTTCTGGCCGTGCCCCAACTCTGTCCCCTTCTCTCTAGCTGTGCAATGTTTGTCTCTCCGTAACATATCCTCAGATAGTCCTTACAACCCTGTTCCTCAGTAACACCTGTGTATTCTCTCCAGTGGAAACAGGTGAGACTCTCCCAAGCTCATGGTACATGTCTGTCATCAGTAGCCCTGGACTGCCATGGTGAGTCAGTCTGCCCTAGGCTGGACTCACCAACCTGTTCATACCCCACAGGATTGTCCTTTACAGTTCATGACTTCCCCCAACTGGAGTGCAGACAAGAGCACTGACTGATGGACCAGGTAACCTTAAAACCAGGAATAGCACCACAGTTATCAAAGCTCAGCCGTGGAGATTGCATGCTGGGGATGAAAGTATCCCTGGAGTTGAGCTGTTTTCACAGCTTGTACCTGAGTTATACCTCTGGTGTCTGGGTACCAAGGTCACTAGCCTTGCTACTTTTCTATGTTCCTGATTCCCTACTAAACAGTTCACCTTTTTGCCTACTTCCCCTGACTCCTGTACCCTGTCCCCCACTTGTCCCCTCTTGCTGCCTAGTTCAAAGACATCGTTCATCCCATAACATGTCCTGGGCTAATACTTATCCTCAAATCGATCTTGAAAATCTGTTCCTTTGTGAGATGGGCCTGATCTCTCCCATGGGTGGAGAAGAGGAATAGGGGGTCCAGGTCCTGAGTCTCTCATAGGCTAAGTATTTCCCCTGAGTCATAAAGCCGGTGGGAGGCAGTGCTACTGTTTGATTCCAGGAAGTCTCAGACCAAAGTTCTCACTCTTTTTTTTTTTTTTGAGAAAGTTTTGCTCTTGTTGCCCAGGCTGGAGTGCAATGGCGCGATCTCAGCTCACTGCAACCTCCGACTCCTGGATCAAAGTGATTCTCCTGTCTCAGCCTCCCGAGTGGCTGGGATTACAGGCATGCGCCACCATGCCCAGCTGATTTTGTATTTTCAGTAGAGACGGGGTTTCTCCATGTTTGTCAGGCTGGTCTCAAGCTCCTGACCTCAGGTGATCCGCCTGCCTTGGCCTCCCAAAGTGCTGGGATGAAGGCGTGAGCTACCACGCCCCATGAATTATACTAGTTTTTACATGCACTCTTTGTTTAGTTCTGTGACCAAAAAAAAATTTTTTTTTTTTTTTGAGATGGAGTCTTGGCCAGGTGCAGTGGCTCACGCCTGTAATCCCAGCACTTTGGGAGGCCAAGGCGGGAGGATTAAGAGATCAAAACCATCCTGGCCAACATGGTGAAACCCCATGTCTACTAAAAATACAAAAAGCTGGGTGTGGTGGCATGCACCTGTAGTCCCACCTACTTGGGAGGCTGAGGCAGAAGAATCACTTGAACCTGGGAGGCAAAGGTTGCAGTGAGCCGAGATCGCGCCACTACACTCCAGCCTGGAGATAGAGTGAGACTCCATCTCAAAAAAAAAAAAAAAAAAAGATAGAGTCTTGTTCTGTCACCCAGACTGGAGTTCAGTGATGCAATCTCAGCTCACTGCAACCTCCACCTCCTGGGTTTGAGTGATTCTCCTGCCTCAGCCTCCCTAGTAGCTGGGATTACAAGCACGTGCCATTAGTTTTTTATATTTTCAGTAGAGGCGGAGTTTTGCCATGTTGGTCAGGCAGGTCTCAAACTCCTGACTCGAAGTGATCTGCCCGCCTTGGCCTCCCAAAGTGCTAAGATTACAGGTGTAAGCCACCGCGCCCAGCCATTCTATGAAGTTTTATCGTGCAGATTTACGTGACGTCTGTCACCACAATCAGGGTTACAGAGCTGTTCCATCTCCACAAAGAAACTCCTTTGTGATGCCACTAATAGTCACATCCTGTCCCAACCCTGACCACCACTGATCTGTCCTCCATCACTACAGTTGTGTCATTTCAAGACTGTAATATAAATGGAATAACACAGTATGGAAACTTTGGTCTTATGTCATTCACTTAATGCGCTTGAAATTGATCCAAGTCATGTGTGTCAATAATTCATTCCTTTCCATTACTGAATATTATATGAATTACCACACTTTCTCTTTCCATTTATCTGTCAAACAATATTTAAGTTGTGTATCTTTTTCTGGCTATTACAAATAAAGCTGCTATGAACATTTGTATTGAGTTTTCTACGAACAAATTTTTATTTTTGTGTAGACATAAGTGCTCACTTTTGGGGGGATAAATGTCCAGGAAGGAGTGCAACTGCAGGGTGTACAGTAAGTGTAGTTGTAATGTGCATGATGGCTCATGCCTGAAATCCCAGCACTTGAGGAGGCTGAGGTGGGAGGACTGCTTGAGCCCAGACATTTGAAACCAGCCTGGGCAACATAGGGAGACCCCGTCTCTATAAAACATTTTTTTAAAATACAAAAAACCTGCCAGGCAAGGCCGGGCACGGTGGCTCACGTCTGTAATCCCAGCAGTTTGGGAAGCCGAGGCAGGTGGAGCACCTGAGGTCAGGAGTTTGAGACCAGCCTGACCAACATAGAGAAACGTCTCTACTAAAAATACAAAATTGCCAGGCGCGGTGGCTCACGCCTGTAATCCCAGCACTTTGGGAGGCCGAGGCGGGTGGGTCACAAGGTCAAGAGATCAATACCATCCTGGTCAACATGGTGAAACCCCGTCTCTACTAAAAACTACAAAAAAAAATTAGCTGGGCATGGTGGCACGTGCCTGTAATCCCAGCTACTCAGGAGGCTGAGGCAGGAGAATTGCCTGAACCCAGGAGGCGGAGGTTGCGGTGAGCCGAGATCGTGCCATTGCACTCCAGCCTGGGTAACAAGAGTGAAACTCCATCTCAAAAAAAAAAAAAAAAAAAAAAAATTAGCCGGGCATGGTGGTGCATGCCTGTAATCCCAGCTACTCAGGAGGCTTAGGCAGGACAGTTGCTTGAACCCAGGAGGCAGAGGTTGTGGTGATCCCAGATCACACCATTGCACTCCAGCCTGGGCAACAAGAGTAAAACTCCATCTCAAACAACAAAAATCAGCCACCTGTGGTCCCAGCTACTCAGGAAGCTGAGATAGAAGGACTGCTTAAGTCCGGAAGGTCAAGGCTACTGTGAGCCATGATCATGCCAGTGTACTCCAGATTAGGACACATACACTCTAAGACCTTGTTTCTGAAAATAAATGAATAAATAACATACAGTAAAATGCACTCATTTTAAATGTACAATTTGATGAGGTTGGACACATGAATACACCTGTGCATTCGATCTGAGTTACTCTCTGGTGTCTTTCCTTAGTCCAGTGTCTCTTTGCTCCACCCTCATCCTCTTGCTGTTATTGGCAAATTTTTGTTATAGGGTCAAACAGTAGAATTAGGAGCTGGATGTGGGTGCTCACGCCTGTAATCCCAATACTTTAGAAGGCTCAGGTGGGTGGATCAATCAAGGTCAGTTCAAGACCAGTCTGGCCAACATGGTGAAACCCTGTCTCTACTAAAAATACAAAATTAGCTGGGTGTGGTGGCACGTGCCTGTAATTCCAGCTACTTGGCTGAGGCACCAAAATCACTTGAACCTGGAAGGCGGAGGTTGCAGTGAGCCTAGATCAGGCCGCCGCTCTCTAGCCTTGGCTACAGAGTAGTGAGACCCTGCCTCAAAAAAATTCTTTTTTTTTTTTGAGACAGAATCTCGCTTGTTGCCCAGGCTAGAGTGCAGTAGCACGATCTCGGCTGACTGCATCCTCCGCCTCCCAGGTTCAAGTGATTCTCCTACCTCAGCTTACAGAGTAGCTGGACTACAGGCAGGTACCACACGCCCACCTGGACCTCTGAAAGTC